TGACTGTTGCGTACGGCCCTCCAGAATGTGCCCGGGAAAGTGGCGTTCTGGGATTCGAAGAGCACGAATGTGTTGACTGTTGCATCCGATATTCCTAAAATGGTGGCCCGGGAATGGCGTTCTGGGATCTCGAAGAGCACGAAGTGTGTGACTGTTGCATCCGGGTATTCAGAATGAGCCTGGGAATGGAGTTCTGGGAACTCGAAGAGCACGAAGTGTGTGACTGTTGGTGAAAAACGAGCCGGCACCTGCCGCCCGGCAACTCCCAACACCTGCCCGGACCCCCCTGTGGAGTGATCTGCTGCTCTCTTTTGATCCCACTAGAAACCTATCAGTCTTCGCTGTTAGGTAAAAAAAGTGGAGGGGCGGACGGGGGGTTCGGAGTGGCGAGGGGCCCTAGCACTTCAGAGCCAGCTGCCAGTCAGGGCCGAGGGGCACTGCACCGCGCAAGGCAAATGCAGCCAGGGAGGAGGCCCCTCCCTTCCCATCCCTTCGGGGATGGGGGAAGAAGGGCCTCTCCCACAATCCCTTCGGTCGCTGGGCTAGCGCTGACCTGCACTGCTACCTCCTGCTGTGCCCGAGTCCCAGATGCCCCTCTTGGCCCACTAGGCCACAACGGGGCCCATTAGGACCCATCAGGGCCCATTAGGGCCCATGTGCGGGGGGGGGGGGGGGGGGGGGGGGGGCGGCAAGACACCCCAAGACGCCCCAGTCACCAAACGCGCCCCAAGACTCATACGGCTTTCAACGCGCCTCAAGACGCCCCAGCCCCCCCCCTCCCCCGAAAACAACAAACAAACAAGAACGCAGCATGCAGCAATGCGCCCCACGAAGCCTCAGGCCCCAACGCACCCCACGACGCGCAAGACCACGCAAACAAAAGCACGACGCCTTCGGCCACAAAGCACCCCGCGACGCCTAAGGCCACTAGACGTCCAGGACACCGCTTGCTTTGTGATTTCGTTGTTGCCCCTTCCGCTGGCGCCCCTGAGGCTAGGGGCCCCCGACCCCCAGGAGCACGCCACCTAACGTGGTAGACCTTGCAGCGTACCTGACCCCTGCTCTCATTTATTGTTGTGTGTTATCTATCGCTCTCTCTCTCTCTCTCTTTCGCTCTCTCTTTTCTCTCACTCTCTCTCTCTCTCTTGGTCTCTCTCTTTCTCTTCCCCTCTATATGTAATTATAGAGCTCGCTCTCTCTCCCTCTATCTCTCTCTCTCTCTCTCGCTCTCTCCCCCCCCTCTCCCCCCTCTCGCCATTCGAGCCACGTTGATCTCGGGGCCCTGCTGGTCTCAGCTCGTCTTCCTCGGGTGCCGACTGTTGCCTAGACATAGCCCTGGAAGCCACATTCGGCCGCGGTACGGCCCACGAGGACTCCTGACATCCTCCTCCTCACCTTTAATGATTGGTGCCCCTCCGATGGAGTTTTAGGGGGGGGGGGGGGGGGGGGGGGGGGGGGGCGGCTAGAGGAAGGGAGGCGAGCGACGGCGAGGAGGAGGAGGGCGATGAGGAGGAGGAGGAGGACGAGGGGAGGGCGACGCGGCGAGCGGGCGGTTGTGCTGTATCCACGTGTCTGCGAATCAACGCCCGTGCATTCCGAATGTCAGTCGATGTGTGCGGAGCATGTTCGGATGTCGTTGCATGTCCGAAGATGTATGTGGGTGCCCGCTAATGTCTGCTAGTGTCTTTGTGTGCCTGCGCATGTCTGCGCGTGTCGAACGACTTTGTGTGTCTGCGCATGTCTGTGAATGTCGCTGCATGTCCGAAGCGTCGGCCGATGTCCGTGTAGGTCTTCGGGTGTATGCACGTGTGTGGGCGTGTTTGCGCATGTCGCTACATGTCCGAGAATGTTTGTCGATGACCGTGTATGTCTGCGAGTGTCTGCACTTGTGTGTGCGTGTCTGCGCATGTCGCTGCATGTCCGAACATGTCGGCCGATGCCTGGCAATGTCTTCACGTGTCTTGGATTGTCTGCGTATGTCGCTGCATGTCCGAAGCTGTCTGTGGGTGTCCGTGGATGTCTGCGCGTGTCTGCGTGTGTCTGCCCATGTCTGCGCGTGTCGCTGCATGTCGTAACATGTCTGCCGATGTCTGCAAATGTCTGCGTGTGTCTCTGCGTGTCTGCGCATGTCTGCGAATGTCGCTGCATGTCCGAACATGTCTGTCGATGTCCGTGTATGTCTGCGAGTGTCTGCGTGTGTCTGCGCATGTCTGCGAATGTCGCTGAATGTCCGAACATGTCTGTCGATGTCCGTGTATGTCTGCGAGTGTCTGCGTGTGTCTGCGCACGTCTGCGAATGTCGCTGCATGTCCGAGCATGTCTGTCGATATCCGTGTATGTCTCCGAGTGCCTGAATTTGTTTGGGCGTGTCTGCGCATGCCGCTGCATGTCTGAAGATGCCGAAGGCTGTCAGCTGGTGGCTTCGCGTGCCTATACATGTCGCTGCGCGTCTGCGCGTGTCGTTGCATGTCTTAACCTGCCGACCGATGCTTGTTGATGTCTCTGCGCGTCGTCACTCGTCTCTGCGTGCCCGCGCATGCCTCTGGTTGCGCGACGACGTGCGCCGACGACAATTGGTGCAAGGGGTTGCAGGGGGTGAGGGGAATGAGAGAGGACGAGGCGGATGTCTGTGCTGAGGGCGGGCTGGGGGGGGGGCGGCGGAGGGGTGGGCGGTGAGCCAGGGTAAACAGGAAATAGGGTCGAATGGGGGTGGAGGGGGCAATGCGGGGCGGGGCACAACGCGCTGCCATTTGGAATCGGCGATATCGGACGTTGCCTGCAATCAACCCGCATAGTAAGGATGGGCAACCTTCCCACGGGTACCCGTGCATCCTTACCTTCTCGGCCCATATTTGGCAGCTTTCGTTGGCCGCGGCCCGCTCGAAAAGCATCGACATGGGCGTCCAAGGCCTTTGCATCCTTATCGCGCATCCTTACTATGCGGATTGGCTGTATCTGCTGAGCATCCAGGCTGGTCGGGCCATGTGCGGTTCAGAAGGGGGGCCCAACCCGAACCCGCAGAAACGGGAGTGGGCCGACTTGGGGCGCACACCAGCACCGAAGGCCCATCGGTGCCTAAACCAGGGCATCGAACAAGCGCAGCTCCCCACCCAGGCCCACCCAGACGACGGGTGGTGGACGGGCGGCAGCCAGTGACCGAAAACCCACGCGTGGGAAAGGGGAGCGGGCGTGGGCCAGAGGAGGAATATCTTCGCGCTACCTTCGAGCGGCCTGTATGTGATCGTCAAGCTACCCTCGGCACATGGCATTGCGCCTGACCTGAACGAGCTTGCAGCCACGCGACACGAAGGCGACGGCAGGCCTTGAAACTCTCAGCGCGCACGCAAGCACTCGTCGCGGAGTGCTGCAACCCTTGCACGGCGCCTATATATCCATGTATATATCTAGTGGCGCCGCCGTCGCCGATACTGAATAACAAAAGTTGCTCTCGTGCTCTGTCCATCATTTCCCATCCTCTCACTGTAATCCTAACCATCGTCGTCCTCACACTCCACCTCATCCACTCTACCTAGTCTGCCAACCCAGGGCCGTCAGACTCGGGCACCGCGGACTTGGCGCCCAAGCGTCGGCGCTTCTGGTCGGACCCCTCATTCTCGACCACGCCGAAGAACTGGGTCGCGGTGGCGTCCTCCACCTGGGTCGAATGCAAGCCGTCCTCCTCGGGCTGGGTGAAACAGTCGATCTCCTGCACCACGTCATCGAAGAGCCCGTCGACGTGCTCCTTCGCGCCGTCTGCCATCTTGTCGTCGACCGCCGTGCCGTCGGCGCCTCCCTTCACGTCGTCGGGCATCTTGTCGTCGGCCATCGCGCCGTCGGCGCCTTCCTTCACGCCGTCAAGCATCTTGTCGTCGGCCATCGCGCCGTCGGCGCCTTCCTTCACGTCGTCAGGCATCGTGTCGGTCATCACGCCGTCGGCGCCTCCCGTCACACCCTTGGCGGCCTCCCGATGCGCATCGTCGTCGCTGATGTTGACGGCCGCCACCTCGCCGCTGCCATCATCGCCTCCAACGGCCGCCAACAACTCGGCGCGCGCGGCACCCTCAGCCTGCGCCCTCTCGACCATCCACTGGTTCGCGTAGAGAACCGTGCCCTTGAGCGTCGCTGCCACCTTGATCTTCGCGTTGCTGGTCTTCGTCCACGTCTGGCCGTCATTGTTCCGCACGAAGCACTCCCACCCGTTGATCTTCGGGCGCGGCGAGATGCCAACCTCAGGGCACAGCAGCCAATCACATCCTCATATGTCTCCTCATCCTCATCCTCATCCCATCCTTCTCATTTCATCATCATCCTCCTCAGCATCCTCATCCTCATCATCACCCTCGGCACCTCACCGCCAGCCGCATCCCCACCGCCATCTGCATACGAATCCCCATCACCCAAATCGCCCCCATCAGACCATCATCCCTTATCACCGTCCTCCTCATCCTCCCCATCTACCTCCTCCACTCTCTCTCTCTCTCTCTCTCTCACTTTCCGCCCCTCCCTCACATTATCCCTCTAATCCCCATCCTCCTCATCGCCATCCCCATCCTCATCACCATCCTCATCGTCCTCACCATCCTCCTCATCATCACCATCCTCATCGTCCTCATCATCATCCTCATCGCCAGCCCCATCCCCATGAGATCCCCGTCGCAATCCTCAACTGCCTCCGCATCTCCGCTGACCCCCCGCAACCTTCCATTGGCCGTGCTTGCCGCACAGCTCGCGGGCCTCCTTGATCTCTCGGAGCACCGCGGCCATCTTGCTGCCGCACCAGCCGTCGCCGTGCTCCTCGTTCATCGTGTCTGCGTCGCCCTCGTTCCCGTCGCCCGCCGCTGGGGCGGGCGATGAGTCGGCCGCCGCCTCTGCCTTCGCAAGGACGGGTTGGCTGAAAACGACGAGGGCTGATTGAGGGTAGAAGGTGGGGGGCTTGAGACGGCATCATGCGGAGGATAAGGGTTGAGGGCTTGAAAAGGCGAATGGGGGGCGGCGGAGACTTGGGAAGGTTCTAAAGTGGAGGACTCGATGCCATAAGTCTGGAATAATCGTGGGGAGAGGGATGAGGAGGTTACGTTGCAGTGCGAGAGGCCTGAAGATGCCAACCCTCGCCGCCCTTGCCCGCCGCCTTGCACTTGCCCTTGCCCCTGCTCTTGCCCTTGCCCGTGCCCTCGCCGCCGACGTTCAGCCCACCGCCGTCGCCGTCGGCATGCTGGGCCTTCTTGCCCCTGCCTCTGCCTCTGCCCCTGCCCCTGCCCTTGCCCGCGTCGACGGGCGCCGCGCCCTCCTTGGCTGCATGCGGGCTTACCGCCGCGCCCTCCTTGGCTGCCTGCGGGCTGGCCGCCGCGCCCTCTGCGCCCTTGGCCGCCGCGCCCTCTGCGCCCTTGGCCGCCGCGCCCTTCTTGACCGAGGCGGCCGCCGCGCCCTCCTAGGCTGCCATCGGGCTGGCCGCCGCGCCCCAGGCGCCCTTGGCCGCCGCGCCCTCCTTGGCTGCCATCGGGCTGGCCGCCGCGCCCTCCTTGGCTGTCTGCGGGCTGGCCGCCGCGCTCTTGGCCGCCGCGCCCTCCTTGGCTGAGGCGGCCGCCGCTGGCGCCTCGGGCGCAACCTCGGGCGCCTTCTTGATGTTGGGGTCGCACCTGGCCGCCTCTGTGCACAGCTGGTCGCTCATCCATCTGTCGCCGTCGTCCCACACGTACACCGCGGCCCCAATCTTGCTGCTGACCACCGAGGCGGCGGGGCAGCTGTCTGAAACCCTGAACGCCCAACCTTTCACGAGCACGTATTGGTCACCGCCGTCGCTCTCGTCATCGGCAGACTGCATCTTGGCCAGGCGGGCGGCGATGTTCTTGCGGCACCGATTCGCCTGGCCAGGGCGAGACGAAAGCAAGCGCGCACAAGCCTCTCAACGCGAATAACACTATCCCAACGTCGGGCATGAGGACGAGGAGAGTGGGAGGAGGCATACTGACGAGGATGACAAGGAAAACGACGCCATCCAAAAGCCCCTCCGAGTCTCCAAGAGCCCCCCAGGGGCCCTAACAGGGCACCGATACCCACCGAGCCCCCATGCTGGTCCCAAGAGGGCACAGGCACCCACCGAAAAGGCCACAGCTAGTAGGACCAGGATAACCTCACCATAACCCCAACAGGACACCGATACAATTGCAACATCTGCCACCTGACTGCTTAAGGAACACCAGCAGTTGGTGGGTGGACGCATTGTCTTACATATCCGCATTATCGTCATCCTCCGTATCCCTCCTCCTCATCCTCCTCCTCCTTCTCCTGCCTCGCCCTCGCCCCCCGATGCTCTATTATCATCTTGATCGCGATCCTCGACATTTCGCCATTGCCCCCGTCATCGCACGCGTCAGTTTCCCCGTCCTCGCCAGGTAGCTACAGGTCATTATCCCCGCCGTCGTTTTTTAACCATAAGCTCTTCCCTGGGCGGCGCAACGTTTTGGCTCAAAGGATGGAGGGGGGGCGGTCACTAGGGCCACATGGGGCCCACCAAGGGGCCTCACAAAGGCATCGAACGCGACAGAGCGAGCACGCTCGCATCATTGGCCCTACACAGAGCACGAAACAAGCGTGCCACCCGCGCCCCCCCCCCCATCAACGAACACGTTTGCACATGTGTAGCCACGAAGCGTGCGAGGGGCGTGCCGACAATGCCCCATGGCGCCACGATGCGCGTGAGAGCTGTGCCGAAGTATGCGGGGGAGGCGCATGCGAATGCCGCCACTGTGGCCTTCGGTGGAGCTCCACTGGTGATGGTGACAGCGACGGTGATGATGGTGACTTTGGTGATGGGGCCGATGGTGATACTGTTGCTGATGCTGCTGCTGATGATGGTGATGATGGTATTGGTGATGTTGTTGTTGCTGAAAATACTGATGCTGATGCCGTTGATGCTGATGATGATGTATGTTCATGGTCTTGATGCTGGTGGTGATGACTCTGGTAGAAACTAACCGTCCTGCAGCATCGCTGTACGGGGAGTTCCCCAGAGGTCTGTAGGAAGAGGAATGAAGACACGGAGCGCACCCTCAGCCTCATCTTCCCCCCCTCCCCCTCCCCCCTCATCATCGTCATCCTACCGCAATGGGGCTAAGAGTTAGAAGTAGGAGTTAGACTAGGAGCCGAAGTAGGAGGAGTAGGAGGAGTAGCGATTATGAATAGAGGGCGCTGCATCCCGCACAGGATACCGCGACTTGCAGAGAAGCGGGGGGGGAACCGCAGGATGAGTCGAACTGGCCCAATGCGCGCCTGGCCAGGAAGCGCAAGGGGATCTTCGAAACGTTGGTCGAGAGATTTCGGGCGAAACGGGCTGAGACGTTCAGGCGGTGGCAGGCAGCATTAATTAGCATGGAACCAATAAGCGCCATTGCGGCGTGGAATGCGGGTGGGCGAGCTCGCCACATCGTCCGAGAAGGCGCCTGCGGGTGGGCGAGCTCGCCACATCGTCCGAGGAGGCGCCCGCGAAGCAGGAGGGGGAGGATGGGCAACTCGACGAGGGGGCAGACGAGACCGATGGGACCAATATCGCGCCACTCGCCGCCCCCCCTCGATCAACGTTTGAATGTGCGGATGAGGAGGTAAGAGAAACAACGAAGGCGATCAGAGGAAGGATGCTGACGTGAAAGAGGCTGGGGACAAGTGGGATTATACCGAAGAGAAGGCCTGAAGAGCGGGCAGTTCTGCCCGTTCTTCAGGCGGGACTGGGGGAGGGGCGGAGGGTGGTGCGGGGCGGGCGGGGAGCGCGCCTCTGCCATCTCCTCGTCGCACTTCTCGGCCAAGCGGCGGCCGTGGGTCGGCTGCGGGGCGTCCGTCAGCGGCTCGGCACCGCCTGCGGCATATATATATATATATATATATATATATACAAACATAGGTCCCAAACTCGCTTCCTGACACCGCCCGATCGGGTCCCAAAAACGCTTCTTGGACGGTCCCCCAACGCTCCGAGACGGCCCAAGACCCGCCCACGAACGGCTCACGAACGCTCTCAAAGGGTCCAAAGTGACGTCGCAACGGCCCAAGACGCCCCTCAGACACCCCAGGCGGCCCCCCACAAAAGCCCCCAAGAAGCACGCACCGTGCAGGTTCGGAAAACCTAGATTGTTGATGCATACGTTTCTGAGCCCTATGAGCCTATGAGCCCTCTGCGCCCTATGAGTCCTATGTGCCCTATGAGCCCTATGAGCCCTACGTGCCCTATGAGCCTTATAAGCCATGTGAGCCCGTTGCGCCCTATGGGCCCTAGGAGCCCTACGAGCCCCATGACCCCTACGAGCCCTATGAGCCCGACTGGCCCTGTGAGTCGTTTGAGCCCTATGAGCCCTACGCGCCTTATACGCCCCATGAACCCTCTCGGCCTCATGAGCACTAGGGGCCCGATGAGCCTTGGGCATAGCGCCCCACGAGCCATATAAGCCCTATACGCCATATGACCCCTATGGCCCCTACGAGCCCTAAGTGTCCGATACGCCCTATGAGCCCCGCGAGCCTTGTCAGCCCGATAAGCCCTATGAGCACACGCACGCACGCACACACATACCCATCATTATTGTGTATACACGCAACTACAAGGCTTGAAGCTCGCTGCCCTTCGGGCATAGGGCTCAGCGGGCTCAGGCTTCGAGGGCCCATATGGCTCAGATGCTCTTAAGGCTCGTAGGGCGTTGAGGGCTCATAGGGCTCGTAGGGCTCAGATGGCTCATACGGACAGGGCTCATATGGCTCACATGGCTCATAGGACTTGTAGGGTTTATAGGTCTCATAGGTCTCATAGTACTCATAGGGCTCATAGGACTCATACGGCTCATAGGGCTCGCATGGCTCATAGGGCACATGACTGGGGCGGGCCCCGCGTAGCGGATGACCCTACGACGTCCGACGATGTCTTTGAGACGGCCCAGGATGGTTCCAGCCCCCCCCCCCCCCCCCCCCCCCCCCCCCCCCCCCACACACACACCAACACACGGAACAAACAAGCCTCAAGCGATGCGCCTAACACAGCATGCAAGTTGCCTTTCTTCCTCGGTCCTTCTCCCACGCCGCATCCGCCTCATCATCTGTTCTTCATCGCCCTCCTCCCTCTCCTGACCCTACCCACCCATTGCCTTTCCTCCATGCACAATTCCTCTCCTCCTCCTCCTCCTCCTCCTCCTCCGCCTCATCCTCCTCCTCAAACCCCTCCACGCCGAACCTGGGGGGTCGGCGCTATCGACCTCGCTGCGCACGCTCACGAGGCTGTCATCATTGTCTGAGCTGAGGCCGCCGAGCGCGATCGCCGTCTCATTAGCATCATCACCAACGTCGTCGGCGGCGTCTTCATGGCGCTGATCCTCGCTGCAGTCGGGGGTCTGCTTCATGGCGCGCTTCAGAGCTGCGGGAATGTGATGCTGCAGCCTCGGGCGGGCACTGCATGCCCCCCCCCCCCTCCTCCTGATGTTACTCATATTCCCCCCCTTGCTCCTCGTCCTCATCCCCATATTCATCTGCACCGTCCTCCTGTTACCATGTCAGCATCCTCCCTGCGCTCTCCTCATCCTCATCTTCTTCCTCATCTCCCTTACCCCCGGCATCGTCCTCCTCGGGAGTGGGGGGGCGCGCGCGGGCGAGGGGGGGGGGGGCGAGCGAACAAATCACCTGGGCGAGGTCAGATGGAGGGAGGCGGCGAAGGCAAACGACGACGAGGACGACGACCACGACCACGACGACGACGACGATGACGACGGCGACGGCGACGACAGCGGCAGCGGGCCCTCCTCTTTCTTCTCGCGCTCCATCATTCATTCTTCGTCCATCACATGCTGATCCTCCTTCTTCCCCTCCTCCCGCCATTCCTCTCTCGCTCCGATCGCCTCGCGATGCGGCGCCACGCCGCGACCAAGTTCTGTATCTTCTTTGCCTCCGCGCACACCAACGTAGGCGTGATGCCGTCCATGTGGCCAATGACCTCGGGACTCGCACCCACCCCTCCTCCCCGTCCCCACTGCCGCCCTCGACCGGGGAATTCGGTGTGCGTTAGCCCCGCGCATTTGCACCTATTCCCCCCCCCCACCCCCCCCCCCCCCCCCCCCCCCCCCCCCCCCCCCCCCCCCGCAGCAAAAGGATCACCTCGCAGCTCATCACCATCATCAGTACCGTCATCGTCATCATCAGCATCATCATCATCATCATCATCACCAGCAGCCTCATCATCATCAGCAGCAGCAGCAACAGCATGTGCATAATCCTCATCAGCCTCATCCTCATCATCACCGCCCGCATCATCATCATCGTCATCGTCATCATCATCAGCAGCATCATCAGCAGTACCGTCGTCAGCATGCCCATCATCATCATCATCATCATACTCAGCATCATCAGCATCAACAACATCGGCATCATCATCCTCATAAGCATACTCATCACGCTTCTCAGCGCCGTCAACAGCATCACAATCCGTGTCCCCGTACTCGACATCGTTACCTTCTCACCCTTCCATATCCTAATCCGCATCGTCTTCACTTTCCTCCTCTTCCTTCTCCCCCTTCTCCTTTGCCTTCTCCCTCTTCGCCTCCTCATTTCCATCCTCTTCCTCCTCCTTCTCCTCCTCCTCCTTCTCCCCTTCCCCCTACGAGTCCTCCTCGTCCTCTTCTTCCTCCCTTCCTCCCTTCCTCCTCCTCCTCCCCCTCCTCCTCCTCCCCATCTCATCCCGATCACCTTGTGAACTGCATGTTCGTACACGTCGAGGCTGAAGCGGAGGCCCTTGTTTATGTCCTGCAACCCCCGCAGGCCCTTGTACCACTTCGCCGTCATAACATAGTCGCAGAGCCCCCCTTCGGGGGGACAAGAAGGAGGCGGGAGAGCACGGAGCGGAGGAGAAGGGCGTGGAGGGAGGGGGCGGGACAAGGAATAGGAGGGAAGAGGGAGGAGGAGGAGGAGGAGGAGGAGGAGGGATGAATACGACGACGAGGAAGACGAGGAGGATGAGGAGGAGGAGGAGGACAGGCTTGGGGTGAATGTTGTTCCCCCTATCCTGTCTTCTTGCTCCCACATGTGTTCCACGAACACAGCGTGGGAACGCCGCCCGCGCTGCGGGCGAGGGGGACCTGCCTGAGAGCAGAGGCCACTGCGGCCACCTGCGGCTCCATGGCTTTGCGTCGGCGGCGGGCAGGGCGGGGCCGAGAGCGGGCGGGCAGGGCGGAGCCGAGAGCGGGCGCTCCTGCCTCGATGGGCGGAGCCGAGAGCTCTGGAGTCGAACAGGGCAAAGCTGTTTCGTCTAGGGGAGTTGGGTGTCGGGGGTTCGGCTGCTTTTGTTGGGGTGCTGTTGTTGGGGTGTGTTTGTTCCTCCCTTCAGCCCTGCCCCCCCTCTTGGGTCAAGACTCTGGCTCCGATCCCGACTACCACGACAAGGGCGAGGACGACTCCGACGAGGACGACCACGACCACGACCACGACGAAGACGACGACGACAACTCCGACGACGACTCCGACTCGGACGATGGTTCCTATGACGACGATTCCGACGACGACGACGACCACGACGACGACGATTCTGACGACGAGGATGACGACTCCAACAACGACGACCACGACGACGACGATGATGACTCCGACGACGACTCCGACTCGGACGATGCTGCCGATGACGACGACTCCGACAACGACCACGACGATGACGACGTCGATGACGACGGCGATGACGACGAGCCCCACTCCGACTCCGACGACTGCTGCTTCTTATTCTTCTACCCTCGCTAATCCTCCTCGCCCCTTCATCCTCTCGCTTCTGCAGGCGGGGAAGTAGGAGGAGGAAGACGACGATGACACCGATAGCAACAGCAACAAACACACCGCATAGCAACGACAACAGCAAAAGCAACAGCAAACACCGATGCATAACACACGGCGACACCAGCGACAGCAATAACAACATCATCCAAGCAATGCATTGCAATGGTAATGATGCATCGCAACAGCGGGACAAAAGGCAACAAAGGCAACCACAACAGCAGCAGCAGCAACAACAGCAACAATGCATGGCAACGGTGGCACTAGTACCATCAACATGAGCAACAACCCACGTATTGAAACAACCTCGCCATCACCAACATAACATAATGCAGATTTTCTCTTGCATCGCAGCTAGTTAGCAAGAATAACAACGACAAACGCAGACACCAAAGACATCCAAAGACATCCGAAGACATCCGAAGACATGACCGATCGACCCGCACCTTCCGCACCTTCCGCACCTTACGGAAGGTGCGGAAGATCAGCCGCAGGGATAACCACCGTCACCGAGATCGGGATCTTCTTCCCTCGGTGGAGGAACACCGCCGATATTGGTGTTGGTGTCAACCTCTAGGCCTGCGACACTGCTCAAATGTTGCTCCCCCCTGGGCTGTTCGCCCCCCTCGCCGCCTTCCACTCGGGGGGCGCGGGGGGGGGGCTGAAACCCAAACGCGCGGGCCACCACCTTCCGCACCGCATGCCCACGATCGGCACGGGGCTGTCTCTGTGTTGCTTCCCCGTCTGGGCCACAACGAGCGTGATCGGCTGTGGCGAAGCCAGGACGAAGATGCAACTGGGCGAGGAAACATTGAGAATCTCTGGGGTCCGGCGGCTCTGGAGGATGCCTCGGGCGCCGCGGCCTTCTCTCAGAGCGTTCCAGAACGCTCTGACAGCTTTCTGGAAGGCTCCGAAACGGATCTTTCCTCGTCCCAGCCCCGTCCGAGGAAGGCCCCAACATCGGGAGCGGCCAAGAGGGGGGTGGCCAAGAGGGGGGAGTGCAAATCATGAACGGCGGCATGTGCGCGGCCCAGCGGGGGGGGCCAGGGGCGTAACGAAATAAGAAGAGGCGCCGTGACACCTGGCGAGACATCATGGCCCACGCCATGACATCCACACACCCCTAGTCATCACCCCCCTCTTTTCCGGCCCCGACAACAGGCGCGAGCGGCCCTGGCGGGCCCCTTCGCCGTCGTCCGCCTCGACGCCGGTCGGGTCGGGCGAAAGGGGGGGATAGCAAAGGGGGGGTTTGAGAATCAGCTCACGTAGCTGCTTGTCCCGGCGCCTCCCGGCGCCGGAGGCGGCGACGTGTCGAGGAATGGGCCCCTCGGTGAGGCCGAAACCAGCTGCATGCAGCAGATTTCGTGACCCCCCCTTTCCCTATCCCCCCCGTCCTCCTCCTCCTCTCCTCCTCCTCCTCCTCCTCCTCCTCCTCCTCTTCCTCCTCCTCCTCCTCCTCCTCCTTCCTCACCTCCCCCTCCCCCTCCCCCTCCCCCTCCCCCTTCCTCCTCCTCCTCTCCTCCTCCTCCTCCTCCTCCTCCCTCTCCTCCTCCTCCTCCTCCTCCTCCTCCTCCTCCTCCTCCTCCTCCTCCTCCTCCTCCTCTCCCTCTCGTCCGGCCCCGTCCGAGGAAGGCCCCAACCAGCGCGAGCGGCCCTGGCCGGCCCCTTCGCCGCCGTCCGCCTCGACGCCGGCCTCTGCTCTGCCCGCCCTCGGGCGCGCGCGCTGCCTGCCTCGGCGGATCCCGAGAGGCGCGCCCCGCCGTGGGCGCGCCCCCCCCCCCAGGGAGCATCGTCCAACCGAGCCCCATCTTGGAGGGAGGAGGAGGAGGAGGAGGAGGAGGAGGAGGAGGAGGAGGAGGAGGAGGAGGAGGAGGGGGAGGGGGAGGTTGGAGGCGCGCGCAAGCGGGTAGAGGGGAGAGGGAAGGCTTCTAAAAGGGAGGCTGCTTCCTAGAGGGCGCCGGCCTTACGTCTATGGATAGGCCCGCGCTGAGAAGCAGGGTGCTTCTGAGATGCCTCCCCCCCTCCCCCATACCCCTCGCTGCGCGTGGCCGAGAACGAACGTCGTCGTAGACATCAATGACAGGGCCCAGGGACAAAACACAAATGGACACAAGTCCCAGGATTGATAATATTTGTCAGTATGTTCTGGAGCTTCGTCTTCTCCTCCAACTCTCATACTTTCCCATGCCTTCCTGGGACTCGACACTGACTTGTGTCTGTGTCGATGTTTCCCTTCTGAATAACCGTGCGGAGGTCCGCGCGGATTTCTCGGATCGGCGCTGGAGCCCCCTGGCCACGCCTCTGGAGCCACTCGTGGCGTGCTGAGCGCGCCAAGGAGGGGGGTCTAGCGCCGATCCAAGGAATCCGCGCGGACCTCTGGATGTTTATGTTTATGCCGATTGTTATTTTCCGCTGATCCCCACAGGCATGGACGTGGCCCCACTGGCCGACCTGCACATCCAAAACGGGGAGACGTGCCGGTTCCTGCATGTTTCGCGGGGCACATCCCCGTCTGTGCGAGTGACCTGGCGGGGCTCAGATGCACTGGCCCAGTGGGGATGGGGATCGTTTAGACGATACTGGTCCAAAAGACCCCCGAAAGGCGCGAAGCGTCAAACGCTCTCCCTCGTCGTCGCCACCAGCGCAGACGCTGCCGCCGCCCTCGTCGTCAACGCCGTCCCCGTCACCGTCCTCGCCGACGGGGCTGTCGTCGATTAATGCTGTCGTCCATGCCGTCAGCGCCGAGGTCGCCGCCGCCGCAACGGCCAACGCCGCCGTCGTCACCGTCGCCGTCGTTGGACATGAAGCAAACGAGTCCTAGGGGAATCGGGTCCAGGACCCCAGGGCCTTCCCCCAAGACCACGCATTCGACCTGAATCTTTCTGCTGACGGTTCTGGGGCCTATGGAAGGCGCAGGGGGCCCGAAAACGGCGAAATACCTGACACCTGTTTCCCTCAGGACTTCATGACGAACATCCGCCGTCGTCAGTGCCGTCGTTTTGGAGTCCCGAAGCGGTGCGGTGACAGACCGTGCGGTGACCTCGAAATCCCCCAAGACCTCACCCGCCCGAGACGTCCTCGGAGAACGACCCGAATCACAAACCCGTGCGGTGACCCCGAATCCCCACCGACTGCACCGCACGGTGTGGCCACCACCCCGTCTGGGGGCCCCCGAATCGTCGTCGCTACTGGCGTCGCCGCCGCCACCGTCCGCACCGCCGCCGTGCCGAGCGCGCCACGCCTCGGCCGCGCCGCCGCTTCGGGGTGGCTGCAGGTGGGGCGCGGGCGTTGCGCGGACCGCCCCTGCGGCTCCCGCCCGCCGCCGCCGCCGCTGCCAGCCACGCCGCTGCCGCCGTCATCGCCAACGACGCCGCAGCCGTCGCCACCGCCGTTGCCGCCGCCGTCGCCGCCGCGGCCGCCGTTGCCGCCGCCGTCGACACGAGCGCACCCCTGCTCTGGAAACGCCGACCCCCAGATCCGATGCCGCGATCTTTGTCCATGCGGGGTCCCGAAGAAGTCTCGACCCGTGCACCAGGACCGGGCTCTCCTCCCGAGCCCTCCCTCTCGACGGTTCAGGAGCCCGGCGGGGGCCGCCATGGACCCAGACCCCCGACGTCATGATTTTTTCATGACGTCGACCCCCCGGAATCTCGACCCATCCCCCGGGACCGGTTTTTCGTCCCGAGTCGTTATTCGACGGTCCCGAGGGCCGGTAAGGGCCCCCCAAGGCCAAAAACAACGAAAAACCTCCCGTCGTGATTTTCTCCCAACTCGAGGGGGTCTGGGGAGGCCCATGCCTTCTTCAAGACTTGCGTTGGACCTCCGGGCCTGTGAGCCACGCTCGACGGCAGGAGCGCCGCCGTGCTGCCGGGAGGCCCGCCGGGCGGCCCCGCCCGCAGGCCGGGGCCCCCCTTGCGGGCCCCGCGCGCGACAGAGAGAGCGGGCGCCTCTGCGGGGCCCCCTCGCAGCTGGCGGCTGGCGGCTATAGTGCATCGCCAGAGGCTGGTTTTGTCTGGCAGATGTCCCCCCTCCTCGGGGATGGACAGACCTCCCTTTCGTAAAGCGTGGTTGAGGCCCCAACCTGGCGGGCGCAAGCCTGGAAAATAACGGCCGCGGCGCCCTCTCGAGAACCGAACACGGACAATTATTCACTAATCGACGTGTCACTGTTGGGGGTTCTGTCCGCCCCCGACCTCCGCCCAACGCGGTGGCGTGGGAGGCCATCCGGCCCCAGAAGCGGCTGCGCACAGAGGTGTCGCTGGACGGAGTGGCGCTTGCTCAGGTCCAGACTCCGCCAGCCCTACGTCTGCATGCCTTTGAATGTATGTGTCTGCACACGTTTTCGGCCTAGCTTGACGGACAAAAAAGAGTGACCCTGGGTATAGGAGTGGCCTTTGGTGCGCGACTTTTGGGGGGCCGCAGGGGGGGGGCCAAACCTGGGCGCGCAAGCAGCTGCTGCTGCTTCGCTTTCAGCCATCTGGGGACCCATCTGTGCCCGCACCAAAGGTCACTCCGGCGAAAGGTCGCTCTTACGTCTGGTCGATCGGTCGGCGGAGCGGCGCCGGGACTGGGCGGGCCCACTGGGCTGCAGCGAGCCTCAGGTCGGGCATGCCCCCCTACAGGCGGGTTTTGGGCGAGAGATGAAGGAACAGAGGCAGAACAGACGCAGCAACAACAAACACCTGCCCACAACATCGTCCCCTGCAGAGGGACACGCCCGACTCAAAGCGAGCCCCGGCCGAACCCGAGCCGTTTCTCGTCTCGGCGTCTCGGCCGTCGGGTCAGGTGGTTTGTGCTGTGCGGGCGCGGCCGCAGGAAACCCTCGCAAGAGACCCGACCCTGAAAGCCCGCGCGCGAAGTGCACCGGAGGGGAATCCTGGAGCACTTTGATCGCAGCAGCTCCTTCAACAGCCGCGGGAAGTCGCCGCGCAGCGCGCGGGGCGAAGAAGTCCAGGATACCCTGACGAAAAGCATATGGCTTCTTGATGCGCACCCCCACTGTGGGGGGGGGTGACCTGAAATCGGGGGTGAGGAGGACGGCCCTGAAGGTCGGGGATGGACAGACCTCCCGTTAGTAAAACGTGGTTTAGTGAAAACGACCTGAGGCCCACACCTGGCGGGCGCAAGCCTGGAAGATAACGGCCACGGCGCCCTCTCTAGCACCGAAAACGGACAATTCACTGACCGACGTGTCACTGTTGGGGGCTCCGTCCACCCCCGAGAAGGGCTCCTTTGGGGGCCCCTCTTGGGGCCACCCGGGGGCCTTCGGGGCATTTGCTCCCCCCCTGCAGGAGGTCACCCCCCATCGCCACCCGCCCGAGACCGCAGCGTCGGAGGTCGAGCGCAGGAAGACCGGGCATCCGACGATGCACTCCCTTCGCCGCGCGATCTCAGGGATCCCGGCCGCTTCCCTGGATGCGGCATCTTCGCCCCGCATCCGACTCTGATGGCCCCAAAGAGCCTGTTTTTTTTAAGACTCTGGCAAGTTTACTTGCATGGACGGCGGGGGGGGGGGGCTGAGCCTGAAGCAAGCCCGGGGGGGGGGCGCGGAAATCACGCAAGTCGAAAGGCACTTGCACGCTAGTACTCGCTTGAAGAGGGGCGAGGGGGAGGGGGGGGGGCGAACGCCATGCAAGTAAACATGCCTGAGTCCCCCAAAAACAGGCTCAAAGTGCCCGATCCCGGCCCCCAGGGACCGAAGTCCGGGAACGACGGC